GAACCGACAGACAGGGGTGTAACTTTGGGAAAATTAATTTGGGACGCCGCGCCGTCTTGCCTGTAAGTCTTCCCTATGGTAACTCCATAGATTTCAGCAACTGTCGTCGAAGCTCGTATCGTCTCGATGTCCAGGCGTACCGCTCAGCAAAATCCACCGGGTTGGATATATCCGACCGAATATCCTGTTCCGTTATCCTGTAATGTACCTTCATATTTTCTTGCGGATTTCTGCATTATTCACACGGGAACATTTCAACCCAACGCCGCTCTTTCGTCAACCGTGAAAGCTACAGAAATACGAGCCGAAAATTTTCGCTGTCCTGTCCTGTAACAGGGCGGGGGACGAGCTTTTTCCGACCGTTCGCCGGCGAGCTTTCAGCGAGGAAATCTACGCTCGTTTATGTCACCCAAGGAATATTTATCAACGTGGTTTTATCGATGTTCTTTATTTCACAGGGAATTCGATAAATGAAAGTTTGTGGTGTTTGCAAAATAGAATATTGTACAGGGGGATATTAAAGGGGATGAGATTAATTTAGGGCGTTATTTTGGATGTTATTTTAAACAACAATGTTAGCTAGAATAATTTCCGAAAATTCACAGTGATAGATTTCCTGGTCCTGTTGAAAAGTTAAATAAAATTTTATCATTCAGTCGTTAATTGCTGTTGAAAAAAGGGAACCCTTTTTGGTAATTAAGTGTATTGTATATGCGATTCATGCATGAAAGGTCAGAGGGCTTTTACACGTGGCAAATGTAATTATTTTATCTTACAAAGCGTACATTGTCGGTAACAGAAAATTAAATTGAACTTTTTCGCATCATTTCCTCTTTGCTTTATCCAATTTCCATACTTTTTTAACGTCAGCAATTTTTACTGTCCAATTAGCAGCAAGTGATCATTTCCTGACAGATGTTATTTCAGCATTGTGTAACATTGCATAGTTACAAATCATTTCAGTATCAAATGTAACGTTTCAAAAAAGATTGCTTGAATCGATAAGGGAGTATTTTGTGAAATATGCTGTGATTTTAACTTTAATTTGTACAAAGTGATTAAATTTATTCCGGCCATTTTCCTTATTTCTAACAATAGGGTCCGATCAGTCAGTTACTGAAAATCCAACAAGGGATTCAGCAATTTCACCCTTGTCCAATATGTCCGCTGCTTTATCTCATAGTTTAAGGTAGTACGCAATTTCCGATATAACACAGTGATGAAGCTTGTGCCAGGCTTGTTTCATTGTACCTCACGAATCCCCATTTTACGGTCTCTTGACTTAAACCGATTAACCACTGAACTCTCCATGTAATGGTATCTCATTTCATAAACGTTGGTAAGTGCACTTCAGAATGTTCTCTAACCCTCTCTCTCGCTTTCTCCTTTGCTCGTGTGAACAAACAGTATCACCATGAAAAGCATAATCGTATAAAGGAGAAAATATGGAACAACAAATGGACGGGTGAAGGATAATTGTTTAAGCAAAGACCATGGAGGGTGGTTACAATTTTGTTTTAGAAATTTCTACATAATTTTATGTGTTATTAACAAACAAGAGTGTCATTATTACACTCTCTAATTAAAAAAGGAAAGAAACGAAAGTTTAATCTCGTTGCAAGAGTGCAATGTCCCATTTTCTTTTTTTCTTTTCCAATTCTTTTTTCTTCTTTCTCTACATATACTTCAAGTTTATTGCGGGAGTAAATTGATGGCACGTTTAATGACGCGTTCTCCTTTCAAAGTTAGTTTTAATCTCGTTAGGAGATCGTAGTATGGTACATGCTTTTTGTGTTCGCTTCCTTCTTTTTAAATGTACCTGGCAACCTTTGAAGAAGTAGAGGTTGATGGCACGTTTAATGGTATATTTTCATTTTGAATTTAAATCTGGATCCTCGTTATGGGACTGGCTGTGGACAAACATGTTTCGATTGTATTCTTAATAACATGTCTCTTCTTTGAACTTGTAAACTCATGTCCGGTATATTCTTAAAGTAGCTTATAATACGTTTATCTTGAAAGAAAATCTCTTTCAATTTTCATGTTAATACTTTACTAAAAATTGATATTTGCATTCAATATATTTTCAATATAAAATCTATAACTTGAGGGTAATTTAAAATAAAGCGAGAAAACATTGTACAAAATGGATTTCCAATATTATTTTCCACGCCATACTCTCTAATATAACTCTTCACAATATCATGTTAATGCCTCTTTTCTCTATACATTTTATAGAAATTGCAAACAATGTTAACCATCGTTATGAAAATGAGATCAATTTTTATATTGAATATCAAATAAAATAATGCAACTGAAGAAAACAAACAATTACGGACGCATAATAAATTAAATAAATATCGAGTGAAGTAATTAAACCGAGAATAATTAATAAATGTTTGCATTTATTTGTCTTAATTTTATGGACATTTTATAATCGTATTTGCTTTCGTTTAAACGAGTAAACTGCAATTCTGTTAATTATTTTTTATTCAATAACCAACTGATATTTTTACATGTTTAATTGTTACGTTTATTTTTTAATGAACTTCTCGATATAATAAATCAAAGAAATAAACGTTAATGGTATTAACTCTTTTAAATATTCTTTGATACATAATGCGAACTGTTTTAACTTTGTGCTAAGGAAGAGGAAAATTTTATATCGTCAAGGTTCTTTAAAGCATAATATTCTTTTCTTACTTAGTTAGCAAAAGGACTTACCAACGACACCACGAATAACAGAATGCTAGAACTTACTCGTTGTGAACATCGTGGCATTAAAAGCTCGAGTTAAAAGAACACTTACATCCTTAACAACGCGTTCTGAATACGAGCCAATGTGCATTTATTTTTTAAAATGCTGCTTTAAACATCGAGCAAGAACGACTCTCCTTTCGCACTGTACTGCACGCGTCAGTAAGATTCTCGTACAATTAAATTTTGAATTTATGAGCTTCTCGAGCGAATACCCTTTTAAAAGAATTTTATGCGAAGTCTGTTTCTTTTTCTCTTTACAAATAGAGTAAAGCAAAGCAAAATAGCTAATTAATTTTTGTCATCATTAAATTTTCTTGACAACTGGCAACTGCAACATTTTTATATAACAGTAAAATTTGTTATTTATGAAAGATTGCAAATGGAAAGCTTAACTTTCAATTAAATTCCAAGCTTTCAACTTGTTATTTTACATCAACGGTTCTCAAGTAATGGTAGATACTAATGATAATTTTGGTAAAATTAAATTAAAATTGATAACTCATAACTTATAACAGTACGTACGATTATAATTGAGTTTAATGAACTATCGCTTGTGTAAAAGTTTTTAGGAAGATAAAGGTGAAAAAGAAAGTATCGCCTTATCGATGGAGATAAAACTATCTTCAAAGTTTCACTCTTTCGATCTTATGATATTCAACTACAAAGATACAAGATAAGCTTTCAGACAAAGTTTTATAATCTTCGAAATAAAATTACGTATTTAAGTGCACTATAAAGCTCGAGGAACTTCGTTTTGTTACTTTTTATTAAATTTATAAGTAACTTTTTTCCATCCTGGGATTGAAAAAATTGAAAATACTTGAATTGTTATTCGTTGCAAATATTGACAATCACTGATGGCAAACTCACATATACAACTCGCAATCTAGAGATCCACGGTTCAAATCCTTGGTTCCCAACATTTTTTTTTTTTTTTAATGATAATTTGTCTCTTTTTGAATAACTATTACATAAAAATTATCATAAGAAAAAAAAAAAAAAATTTTGGGAACCAAGGATTTGAACCGAGGACCTTCAGATTGCGAGTCATGGATCCGCTCCGTGGTTAAACACATGACTCGCAATCTAAAGGTCCACGGTTCAAATCCTTGGTTCCCATTTTTATTTTTTTTTATTTTTTAAAATTTTTTTTTTAATGATAATTTGTCTCTTTTTGAATAACTAAAATTCTATATAATTCTAAACTAAAATTCTGTATTCTATTTTGAATAACTTAAATTCTATAAAAATTGTAGTGCATGTAATTAATTATTAATAAGTGCAATAATTATAGCACAGCTGTAATAGGCGTGTTCAGCTCGACGAGTTCTACAAGCTGGCAAAGTTTCATTAATAAGTGAGTGTAGTTGGATAGTTCTCCGTATCAGTCGAAACGAATCGCAGGTGGTCCTTTATCAGTCAGAGAACTCGACGTCGGTGAAATCGTGCATTTCCAGTCGTTGACGATCGTCGACGGGGGGTAAGACGATACCCCTAACGTGGCACGAAGAGGCCAGAGGAGGGGGAGATCGATAGAACAAACGGGGGAGGGTGACGCCACACCGGAAACCGAGGCTGGTGTCTGGCTTGGAATTCTGGAAAACTGGCGAACCGTGATGGTTGCGGTGGTTTTGTCTCAGAAAGCGAAGTCGCGCGGATCCGGATGCCGCGAAGAAAAGGGGGAGGAAACGAAGTGAGCTCGCAGACGAGCCGCGAATAGGGTAGATAAAGGCTGAAACGAGGAGGCCGAGGAAATCGAGAGGGAGCAAGGGATGGGTCGACGACGGAAAGTGAGGAAGGAAGGGAAGTTACTTAACGTCGTGGCAAAATGGAACGGTAACTAATTCTGACTAGACCGGCTGATTTATCGGCTTCTGGTTCTTCATCGTTGCCTTTCAACGCACCACGCTCGTGTAACTTCACTCGCTTCCCAAGTACTCTGTTAGTGATTTCGCGTTCCTCTTCCTGCGAGCTACGTTTCATCTTCCGTTCTTTCAATAGCTTGATCATTGTCGACGATTAAATTATTATTTTTCGTTATGCAAAGTCATGACCAACTTATGTTAACATCCACAAGTATTTGGATACTTGCTGGAATCAGACTCAAATGATTGTTCAATATTTTGTTGGCCATTTTTGAAACTTTAAATTATTATTTTTCTAATATATGAAAATTTTTCATTATAAAATTTGAGTAGCTAATTTTTCTTTAAATTTTTTAAACTTGGATCATGATTCGCTATTGTGATTGTGTATAGGTACAAAAGGAGCTAATAACTTTTCTTCCTGTCGTCGCTGGCGAAGTGTCGTTACTTCGTTTCCTTATTCCTCTCACTCAAATTTACTCCTGTTTTCCTCGATTTTTGTTTTGCCACCAAACCCGTTCCTCAACTTTCCTACCAGGAATAAATATTTTGATTGATATCGTTTTCATCGTTCGATCGCATTTCCATTAGCTGATGAGCTCGTTGAGCGAACGGTCCTCCCGATTGGATAGGAAACGAACAGAAAGGGGGACAGAAGCAGGAAGAACCGGAGAAGAAAAATAAAAAAGTATCCAGGCTTTGTGTACCGGTTGACAAGTTCCAACGACGTGCTGCGGTACGATGCGTTAAACAAAATGAAATATTTAACCCTTTTAGCTAGCGCTTTACCGTAAGAGCTTGCTTTGACACAGCACCACATCGTGGGACTTTGTGCAATGTATTATAATTCACTGTTGTTACAGAGATTAACGGAAATTGCTGGTCTTACACGGGGGATTGTGCAGAAAATAGCAGGGATAATGCAAATGAACCGGTGAATTGATCTTCCAAATAGAAGTGGAAAACTTTTTATAGGTTATTGTATAGAAAGCGATTTTATAGGAGAACTAATGATTGGAATAAGGTAATTCAGATAGAGATAGATCGACGGGGAAGTTGGATCCGGTAAGTAGTTCCCAAACTCTGTTTCAGAGGTGCAATGCGTCGAAAACGATCGAGTTTATATATGTATTTTAGACTTCTTTTTTCTTAATAATTCAATTATAGTATATTAAATTTATTATTGATGATTATCAGTGTCTCTTATGACAATGAATATATTGATCCAACTTATTAACCTAGTTTCAAATTCTCGTATAATAATTCTAATTAAAGCATTCAGGGGGGTCTAAATGGAAGGTGCAAGAAGAAGGGCATCATTATAACGTGTCACCGAAGAAAATTGCCAAGGGGTAAGTTACTTTAGTGCTGTGTGCCACTTAAAAGATCAAAGCAGTCCTTGGTTTCGCACATTCTAGCTAGGAGAACGTGTAGGAAACATTCAAACGACGTGTTCTCCTCCTTTACGTGCTTGCATCGAATCGATAACTCCATGTTACGCGCTCGTTGTCCTCTTACGGACGGTGCGCTGACCTCTGACGAGTTTCCGAAGCTGGGACATCCATCATCTCGGAAGTCCGTCAGGATAGGGGAGAGGCTCGTCTATCAAGGGACCGATTAGCGACGATAAAGATCTCGAAATGAATGGACCGTGCCACTCGACCGGCTCATTGTCCTCCCGAGCGTGCAACGACCACCCTCTGCTCCGTTGCACAATGCTTCACCCCCTATGTTTTTGCTAAACAAGAGTGATGCTCGAAATTATTAACCCTTTTGTCACGGAAAACACCAATAGACGTTCAATTTTCTGCTCCGTTTTTTGAGAAATATTAAACAATTATTAAATTGTCAATTAACTTACTATTAAGGAATTATTTTCTTACAGAACTACTTGAATTTTACTGTCAAGAAATTCAAAAATTATTAAGTAAGTAAGTATTTACTGAATTTTAATTAATATTTTTAATATTTCCGTAAAAATTATATTATTAATTTCAAATAGACGATGAATTAAATTAATTCATTCTAGAGTATACCATAATGTCTATTTCTATTTATGTATCTGGTAAATGGAAAGGTTTAAGGAATCAATTACACGGTACACAAAAATTGTACACGATATCGAAGTCTTATCAATCAATTTTCCAATATTTACCACAAACATTTTCCACACTACACCGAATACCAGCCACATAAATTTACTTTAATCGTGACAGCTAATGAAAATGGATTACCGTTCCTGCTTAAGCAAACAATTTTCACTCGAGTTCACTGAATCTATCTTATCTGTCCAAACTTTCATAAAAGTCCCATTTCATCCCATTGTTAGTATTTTAAGTAATACAATAATTATTCGTTGCTGAGAGAAAAAATGTAAGCTATACTTAGAAAATTTAAAGAAAGTTTTTAAAATAAACCTTATCCTTTCCATTTTCCTTTGAAGAGAAACAACATTCGACAACACTTTATATGTGAATTGAATAATCCAAGTGTAATAAAAAAGCTCAACGATCTGAATAAATTCCTCGTTCGCCAATTAAAGCGTTTCCTTGCTAGCGATCAAAATGGAAGTCAAGAGATTTTGCGATGGAAAAGAGCGAAAATCCGGTTTGCATCGAGAAGTGCTTCATTTTCATGCGAAGCACACGAAGAGCAAAGGACCACGAAGAACGGGCCTCGAGTTCGCCTCGAAACGACAGATCCATTCCTCACTGCGCTTTCCGACGATGCTCTTATTTTCTTTTCTTCAGTTGCTCGTTCAGCTGCAACACCGAACGATCGGTAATCGTGACAGCCGATCGCTCTTCCGGAATTTAACCGGTAGTGTGACGTTTCAGGGTCTACCCGTTTTGTTCCCGCAAACTTTTTCCACCATCTCACTTCACCTCATCGTTTCAATCTCGTCTCGGCCGTCTTCAGAGAAGGATACCGATGATTAACGTGTTCTCCTTCGCGCTTCGATCGAAACGCGAAATTTTGCGGGTAACCAGAGCATCCATGGAATCTGGCCAATGTTTGCCTTGACCATCGGATGAACCAGCTCGTTTATCATGGCAACCACGCCGCTCAAAGACGCGATGGATGCCTGGAGTGGCGAAGAAACTGGTAATTAGGTTTGTTTCAGCTTCGCTTGGGAGATTGTATTGTTCGTGGTAAAAACGTGTTAATGGTTGTACAGAATTCAATCGAGTGAAATTATGGGCAAAGTTTTGAGAGGTTCTCTAAGGAAGTAAAGAAAGAAGTTAAATTCAGCGTCAGTATTTTAATTTCTAATTGCTTAAGGAATCTTCTTATCTGTATGTATTTAGAAACTTACTTTTTAATATAGGCACAGTAATTAGTGGTGAGCTGTTGCGAGTTTTCAAGTAATTTAAGTATATTCTAGTTTCAGATTACTTTACTAACTATTGAAAATCTTGAAACTCTTACAAACTTTGAAAATTTTTAATTAATATTTATTTTTGGAAATTCAAATTTTATTTAATTTGCATATTCAGGTAAGGTTTAACTCTTTCAAAATTTATCCCATTCCCATTTTGTGATTGAATAAAGAATGTTCCGAACTAAAAAAACATCACTCGTTTTGCGTAAGTAAATTTAGGTTGAAATTGTATTTCTATACGTCTGCTTTCAAAGATTTTATATTTTCTGGTAAAATTAATATTTTCTTCGTTTCCGGCACAGCTCTATCGTCGCTGTTCAAACACGTCAAAAATGTATTTCTTTTTGCAGGATATTGCATGTCCATTTTTTGCCTGGATCTGGCTTTGCTTTACGTTTATTTTTAACGAAATGGAAAAAAAGGATCTCGCGTATCCGATAGCTTTGAGGATTTATCCGTTTTTTTTTTTTTCGAACGCAGAGTTGTAAAATAGATCATTTTATCTGAATGATGATGATTCTCTATGAAAAAAAGACTTGCTCTATCACAAATAATTAATATAATTTGCACTGTCCAAAATTAATCCAAAACCATCATTAAAAAACATAGAGATGCAGGTTTTTGGACAGGAATTGTAACGAACGAGGAAAGTCCAAGGTCTGAAAACATGCAACGAGCAACGGTGAACCATTTTTAACCCCTCGGTACCATAATTACTTTTCCATTATCTTAATGCCAGCATGGTGAGTGAATGCGGTATAAATACAGGGCGGGGGTCGCGTAACTGCAGCACACCTCTAAAAGGCTTGCTATATATTTTTTGTTCCTTTCTTTTTTTTAAGTGTCGCGAAAAGCTAGACCGACGACGTCGCATCTTCCCTTAAACTTTAATTATCAACGTACGTTCCACAACAGAGGGGTAATTTTCCCATCTCGAAGGAGATTAACGCTTGTTTTATAGACTGTTGCGCGAAATTTACTAAGTTCACTAATTTTTATAGTATAATAAATTGATTTGAGAATTACAAAAATTTTTATGTTACCAAAAATTTAACATAGGTCGTTGAAAATTCCATTAAGTATTATTTTTATTTGACAGTTAATTGAAACACTTATGATAGATAGATTATAAAGTATCGCGACGCAAAAGGGGTGAATTAAGGACGTGGAAGATGGCGCGGTTTATTATTTTCCCTGGGAACCATTAGACGGTGTACACCCTACGGTAACGCCACTTTAGGTCGCCCCATAAATATTCCCTAATACGCGAAGCAATAACGCGTATCGATGCGGCCGTTGTATAAACATAAATATGACTGCATGCTCAATAGGGGGTATTACATAGCTTGCCGTTGGAAAGGTAAGTTCGCCTAACGCCAGCGTTGTTAATTTATTGTTAATTTATTGCACCGAACGGCCGCCTAGTGACTTGCTATCAGACACGGTGCACCGCGTAATCAAGAAATCGATTCGTTGCACGAACGTTACAGCCAGCCAATAATATCGTAAGCCAGTGATTATATTTCCAACAAGGGTGAACATGCCTTTCTTTTCAAGGGGTCTTGCATTTATTGCTTGAAAACTTTGATTAATCACGATCAGTCAGTGTCTGGAGCTCAGCGCTGCCTTATCTCAGCAACAAAAGCATGTGCACCCCCAAATTCGGCGGGTCCGTTGGGGTCGTGGGTGTTTGGAGTGGGGGCTCCAGACATCGTTGCATGCGGCCCAATAAAAGGCCGACACCGAGTGCGACCCCTCGGTGTCGGTCACAGGGTAGGTACTAGGGGGAAGTCTAAGTTTAGACCTTCCTCGAGATGGGCATCAGTGTGCCAGGCCTGGAGGGCTCCGAAGTAACACATATAAAGTGGTGGAGCCCTTCTTTAGCGCCAGTACAGGTCGCCGTGGGGTTTTAGTCAGTAGGAATCTGACACTCCCCTGCCGCCCTCCCCCAGGGGACGGTGGGGGGTCTTATGCAAGATTTCCCCACGTTAAAAAAAAAAAAAAAAAATGTAATCCCTTACATCCTTGCTTTCTTTAAATCCCTACTTCCCTCACATCTCTGCATTCTTTAGATCCCTACATCCCTTAAATCTTTGCATCTCTTACATCTCTATCTTCATTACATCCCTCCATTCTTTATATCACTGCATCCGTTACATCCCTACATCCCTCACATCCCTACATACTTTACATCCCTATATCCCTTAAATCTCTGCATCTCTTACATCTCTATCTTCCTTACATCCTTGCATTCTTTATATCACTGTATCCGTTACATCCCTACATCCCTCACATTCCTACATACTTTACATCCCTATATCCCTTAAATCTCTGCATCTCTTACATCTCTATCTTCATTACATCCCTGCATTTTTTATATCACTGCATCCGTTACATCCCTGCATCCCTTACATCACTTACATCCCTTACACCACTTACATCCCTTACATCCCTGCATCCTTTACATCCCTGCATCCCTTACATCACTTACATCCCTTACATCCCTGCATCTCTAATGTACCTTAATAAATATTTAATAATGTCCATTTTTTAATAAATTTAGTTCCTTTTTCCGCCACCAGATGGCGCTGACCGGACCTCGAAATTTTAGTTCACATTTTTGCCGCCAGAGGGCCAAAAATTGTGCATGATTTAGTTCCTTTTTCCGAAACCAGATGGCGCTGATCGGACCTCGAAATTTTAGTTCACATTTTTGCCGCCAGAGGGCCAAAAATTGTGTATGATTTAGTTCCTTTTTCCAAAACCAGATGGCGCTGATCAAACATCGAGATTTTAGTTCACATTTTTGCCGCTAGAGGGCCAAAAATTGTGCATGGTTTAGTTCCTTTTTCCGAAACCAGATGGCGCTGATCGAACATCGAGATTTTAGTTCACATTTTTGCCGCTAGAGGGCCAAAAATGGTGCATGGTTTAGTTCCTTTTTCCGAAACCAGATGGCGCTGATCGAACATCGAGATTTTAGTTCACATTTTTGCCGCTAGGGGGCGCTGTTTTTTCGAAATTTTTGCTAACTAACTTACCTTTACTTACCTTTACTCGAAGCAGTCTTTATAATATATTTATTATAAGGGATGCAGAGATGTAAGGAATGTAGGGATGAAAAGAATGTACGGAAGAAAGGAATGTAGGGATGAAAAGAATGTAGGGATGAAAGGAATGTAGGGAAGAAAGAAATGTAGGGACGAAAGGAATGTAGAGATGAAAGGAATGTAGGGATGAAAAGAATGTAGGGAAGAAAGGAATGTAGGGAAGAAAGGAATGTAGGGATGAAAAGTATGTAGGGATGAAAAGAATGTAGGGAAGAAAGGAATGTAGGGAAGAAAGGAATGTAGGGATGAAAGGAATGTAGAGATGAAAGGAATGTAGGGATGAAAGGAATGTAGGGATGAAAAGAATGTAGGGAAGAAAGGAATGTAGGGATGATAATAGTACCCACCCTAAGAGATACAGGGATGTAAAGGAAGCAGACACCTAGGAGATACAGGGATGGAAAGGATGCAGGGTCCTAACAGATACAGGGATGTATAAGGAGGTGGTTCCTGCGAGGCTCATAAAGTGGAATAAAATAATGAAACTAATGCAGAGATGTAAGGGATGCAATGATATAAGGAAGGCAGGGATGTTAGGGATGCAGAGATGTAAGGAATACTGGTATATAAGTATACGCGAATACAGGTACAAGGAGGTGGTACCTGCGAGGGTCGTAAAAAGGAATAAAATAATAAATAACTAGGAATAAGTTACGTAAACAATTTGAAAAGATAGATACAACGCGTGTTAAATTGCACTATATGTACGTATATGGTGTGGGGTGTTAGGGACCCCAATGCACAGGTAATACCCTGCATATCAATATTGTAGCATCCGGGGTGTCAGGGACCCCAGAACATCGGCGACTCTCTCTGCGCAACAAGATATCAATTTGGGGTATCAGGAACCCCGGCGACTCTGCAAAACGCGAAAATATCATCTTGGGGTATCAGGAACCCCGGCGACCGTTTGCGCGACGCGAAAATATCATCTTGGGGTATCAGGAACCCCTGCGACCATTTGCGCGACGCGAAAATATCATCTTGGGGTACCAGGAACCCCGGCGACCGTTTGCGCGACGCGAAAATATCATCTTGGGGTATCAGGAACCCCGGCGACCATTTGCGCGACGCGAAAATATCATCTTGGGGTATCAGGAACCCCGGGGACTTTCCGCGCAACGCGAAAATATCATTTTGGGGTATCAGGAACCCCGGCAACGCTGCGCAACGACAAAATATCATCTTGGGGTGTCAGAGACCCCGGCAACTCTCTCTAAAGTTTAAAAAGGATAAAATAATAAAGAGGGATAAAATAATTAATAACTGGAAAGGTTGAACTCTGGCTCATAACGAGGGATAAAATAATAAAGTTGCTTTTTCAAAATGATTTATTTACTAACATTAAGATGCATGAAGTGAATACAAGTTTGTCTTACAATTATATTAATAATTTTTCGGTCTTGTACATACTGGTTTTGACTAAATTATAAAAGAAGAGGGACTGGTAGAACAGGCTCGATTATTTTGACTTGTGGGGCGCAATTACACTGTGTTTGTAACTTAAAATTAAAAAATTACTGCTAATTTTGATTTTTAGAATCTTGGTTATGAATTTACTTATTTTGGGTCAGTTATAATATTTGTTAGGGACTATTTTGAGCTTTAGGTACTAACATTAAGTATAATACATCGACACTGAATACTAGAAACTGGAAAAGCTTGTTGTTGCTCTATTAAAAACACATTATTATAAATATTTTTAAAAATTCTGTTCACTGTTTCTTTAACTTAATGGATGTTCCAGCTTGTTTAGTCGAATCTGTCTCTGGTCGAAGCGTAAATATCCTTCTCTTCAAACATTTTACAAAATTCCTAGATTCTTCGTTGCAGCGCGCTTCTTACCGAGGACACTCTTGATTTTGGAAAGCAAACTTCCTGATGTTTGAGAAAGTCTGAATGGAACGTGAAGTGCCATGAATACTAAAACGGTGCACGATATTGTCATGGGATACACCTTAATAGATTCTCTTTAGTTGGAGACACGTCCGTTTACAAAGTCTATAGGAATTTCAATATTTCGAACGAGCTGACATTATAGGACACTTCAGTGCACAATTCGCAGAGTTTATTCTGAAGAAAGTTTCTTAAATCTTCAGCACGGTGTAACATAAGTAAACAGGAGTTACAGATTTCAATTTACGTTAGAAAAATTACGAAGAAATTTCCAGTAAACGTAGTAAAAAATTTCTCAAGCTTTTCCCTTATGGTGACAGCATAATACGGAATATTGCAAGCTCGAACGACGATCGTGAAAAGTTTCTAAAGATACCCTTTACCTGGAAGGAACCGGAAAATTTATCGATTACAGTCGACTCAGGAAATTAAAATTGCTCAAAAAATTCCATTTTACCTTTTCTCTTCTCTAAGCTTCCTTTTTCCATCAATTAAATCAACATTTCCTTGATTAATACTCGAACTATTGTTAAATGAACTTAAAGATGTAAAATAATGTTATCCTTTTGCTTTGTAGAATCTAATAAAAAAAAAGATTTATTATATTTTTATTCAGAACTGAATGACCTGTTACTGTTTAATAAAAGATATGCAATATCTCCATATTACTAATAAAAGATGAAAAAAATAAAAACTATAAATTACAATAGTCTTGAAATAAAAAATAAAAGATTATTACTCACCAGACTTATGATTTATATTTTGAGATCGCATTGAAATTGTTCTTTAACAAGATACAAAAGTTTCCAACAAGATTCATAGATCTCCTTAAAGGATTTTTTGAAGTTTCCATGATATTACTGCAAAGTACTTTTAGAGGATTGGTATTGTTCTAAAAATGAAAGGAATAAAAAAATAAAAAATACAAAAATGGATATTAAATACATAATGGAAAGGAAGTAGGTAAACGTGATTCGTGAGGATCGAAGGAAAGCTCACAATGGTAAATAGAAAATTGAACTTACGGGCGAGGGAAAGTATTACATCAGGGGACAAAAAGCGAAGGAGCGAGCCTTGCCTAGTTTCCGGTTCGTGCGAGATTAATTCCCGGTCGTCGGTCCTTTGTAAATTTCAGCCAAGAATTCGTCGGTGTATATACCGTGCTCGTGCGTGGCTTATATTATCTCGTTCCCGTACACTCTGGCTCGTTACACGATTCTCAAGGGGTTCGAAATGGCTGGTGGTTGGTTGGCAAGGAAGCGTGCAGGCAAAAAGAGAGGTTGAAACATGGTGGATGGTAGATTCCTGAAAGGAAGGAAAATTGTGTATGTCACAAATAAAAGAACGGGCTCGTCGGCTGATTCTGCTGTGAGTTAATTTGCGAGTTTCAAGCAGAAATTCACTGGATGTCTTTGCTCGCATACCTGCACCCTGTTTCCTTGTTGTGAAACCTGGCTCATTATGAGCCCCAACAGGGACATCCTAGCCAACGGAAAGCGGATTAAGTGTAGAAACAAGCCTCCAAAAATTATTCGTGTATTAAGAACGAAAAGAAATAGAAGAAACAGCACATGAGATTTACCTAAGGGTTACACTAACACGCTAATTTGCAATTTTCATTCATCTGACAGTGATTTTAAACTGAGCGCTCGTGACTTTGCGACGAGAATTTGGATTACTCTTTGTAGAAGGGGAAATGATAAATTTAGTTTGGAGACTTGCTTGAAATAAAATGAAGGGGAAGATTTCACGGGAGATGTATGTCAAGTCGATTTATAATTAATTTTGTTTCTTATCTTTCTTTATATAATATATCGTATTTACTTTTTATTTTATTGATGGGTTATCTAGTAAAGCAATAATCGATAACATACCAATCGGAACTCCGTCAACAATACCATCAATAATTCTAGCAACCTTTCATCAATCGGACTATTTCATCCGGCTTAATAAACTTTCATCTGAATCGAACGTCAAACGAAAATTAGTTTGTAATAATACTCGATTTGAAATTACAAGCGAAATTCAAACGCAACATTCTGTATTCAATTAAAATCGAGTTCAATATTCAGATATGAAGTTTTTAGAAATACATAATATAAGAATAATCGTAATTAATTAATCAAGGAAAATATACATTGAGGAATAAGTATGTTATCAGTTTTCAATTTGAAGCGAATCTATCTATCATATCAATTGATCAGAATCTAAGAAATATCAAAATTATGAAAGAATCATTTCCTACTAGAGAAAGATTCAATACGAACAAATTTTCTTCCCATCGATTCATCGAGAGTCCATTAAATCCCTGGTTTATCCTTTCAATTTCACAAGAGGTCGCTGCGCAAAAATCCTGAAACAGCAAATACGATAACCCAAGGTAATCCCGGTTTCGCCGATAGCCAGTGAGAATAGAAATGTCGTGCTTGCAATATCGGCTGCAATTAAACTCAACGATCCTTCGGGAGCTGTTTTCCTCGCGTGGAAACACGTGTACCTCTCGCGATACCCTCGGATAACGGATAAGCCTTTCTCTTCTTGCACCGGATACTCTTCTTTCGGAACGAATCCTCCTCGAAGCAAGTTCGAAGGTCACGGGATCTTTGCCCGACTAATTTCACGGACGATGTCTCGACTTCGTCCAGCGGCGAAAATTCACGTGGATCCACACACATACTTAGTTGGTACGGGCTTGAAACCGAGTTCGGAGGGTAACAAAACACATTAACGCTAATCTGTCCGTACGTCGGGCGCAGTCAATGGCACGGCACGAATCCCATTTGTCCAGGGCGACGTCTCGTGTCGTGACGTACGGCTCTGTGTGCAGATTCTCCACATTTCCCTCTGCGTTCATTGGTTTACACATGCACAACACTCCACGTCCAATGATAACAACGTTCCACGCCGGAGGTGGCCAATCAACGGCCTTTCTAGTAAAAACTGTTCGCCATATGTGTATGGAGGGAATAATAGGAGATTGATGAGACTTGATGAATAATTTATTTGGTAGTTATCTTGTTATGCTTTGGAGGAAATTTGGAAAATTGGAGAATTAAGGAATATTCATACAGATTAATTAACACTTTGATCACTTTTTTATATTTGGAAAATACTATTTCACTTGAAATACCCTTTATTTATTAGTTAAAATTAGGGTTGTGCGGGAACCTGAGCTTCGAATCGAGTCGGGTCGGACTGAATTAAATATTTCTTCCCTTTTTCAAAAATATAATACATTTGGAAAGTTCTATTCGAGTTAAGATATTCTTTGTCCATCGATTGAGATCCTATCGATATTCCTGGAAGAGGGTGGACATTTGAAAACGCAAGAAGAGAGAGAATCAAAGGAAAGAGGGAGACAAGAGCATTCTACTGGCACAAAGGTACAATACGTTGGCAAAGTCGGGTAGTCTTCGACGACGTACGGTGTCCTAAGGGATAAACCGAGAGTGGCTGTTACCGCTAACCACGTTCGATAAGCGGTCAGGTCAGATCCCACGAATCCTTGCGTTCCCCTCCTTCGGTATCTTCCGGTGTACCGCGGGAACTGCAAGGGCATGTTCACCTCTACACCGAACTTTCCGAAACTGAAGAGCTTTCGCGATCCTTACCTTTCGTAAGAACTCGATTGCTTCGCTGCTTTCAACGCTTAGTTGTGTAACGTGCCGCTCGTTCCTTTGGGAATTCACGTGGCACGAGAGTTGGCAACACTTTCGACTTGGGTCACACGGCTCGGTTAATTGAGATTTTATAAGGGTGAAAAATTTTCCAAGGGCTGTTCGATTATCGTTTAACAAGGGGAACTACCCAAGAGTTACACTCACTTATTAATGAAATTTTGCCAGCTTGTAGAGCTCGTCGAGCTGAACACGCCTATACCCCCTTTTGCGACGTATCGAAATACCGGAAGCTATGGAGGAAGTTGCGGAGAGATAGAGTGTTTGGGGCCAGACGGCTAATTGTTTAAAAGATATTAACAATTACAGTTAGTTACTCCTTACATTCTGAAGTATGACAAACTCATGCATACAACTCTCAATCTAGAGATCCACGGTTCAAATCCTTGGTTCCCAACACTTTTTTCTTTTTATTAATGATAATTTGTCTCTTTTTGAATAACTATTACATAAAAATTATCATAAAAAAAAAAAAAAAAAAAAAATTTGGGAACCAAGGATTTGAACCGAAGACCTTTAGATTGCGAGTCATGGATCCACTCCGTGGTTAAACACATGACTCGCAATCTAAAGGTCTTCGGTTCAAATCCTTGGTTCCCAAAATTTTTTTTTTTTTTTTTAATGATAATTTTTATGTAATAGTTATTCAAAAAGAGACAAATTATCATTAATAAAAAGAAAAAAATGTTGGGCACCAAGGATTTGAACCGTGGATCTCTAGATTGAGAGTTGCATGCGTGAGTTTGTCATACTTCAGAATGTAAGGAGTAACTAACTGTAATTGTTAATATCTTTTAAACAATTAGCCGTCTGCCCCCAAAAGGGAGTATAGGCGTGTTCAGCTCGACGAGCTCTACAACCTGGCAAAGTTTTATTAATAACTCAAAATTCACAAATTATTTTTGGCAACAAATAATTTAAGAGAAGGGTAATTGAAAATAGAATAAAAACGAGACAATTTTAATACTCCAAACGCAACGTATTATAATGAATGTAGTGAAAGAGACTCCTTTTTCACTGATGACCTGCTCCAAAGTAATGAACGTACCCCAAAAATGTTGAATTACTTTGTCAAAGATAAACGAAGGTAAAGAAACATTAAAGTTTTTCTTATTCTTGTCAGTTCGTTGGGTTGTCCATTAAAAATGGTACAACGTACACCTTCGTGCACGACGAGATGGGGGCAAACGTACAACAGCCGTTCTCTGACGATAAAAGAAAGAACTACCGAGTTGAATGTTATTTTTAAAAAGTAACAAGGCAATAGAAGTAGTTCCAAGCAGGCGTACAATACGGCCGCAGCCTCACCGAGCCGTGACACGAATTTCCCAAAGTTTCCCGGGCCGGAAGAGAATTTAAAAGAGTTATGTCGCGCGAAAAAGTGCACCGATACCGGTGTATCGAATCGATGCGATGACTTTAGCTGTTACCGCGCGAAATGGATCCGTTCTGGAGAAGTCTCGTTTCATGCCATGGCATATTACGAAGTTACCGGGCTCCTATCAATGACCGACTTTCAGCCATTCTAATGCACCCATCCACAAGTTCAGTCGATGCTATACTGTATAATGTTACAATACATTCGTGGAATCAATCGAGGATATACAATTTGTTTAACCCTCTGACGGCGGACCATGGAGGGAGCAACAATTTCAATTCAATATTTTTGATTGCAAAATCACATCTTGAAAAAAATTTCAAAGTATTTTGGTATCACGTTTAGCGTTGAATAATGAAATTTCTAATTAGTTTTAATCTAATTAGAGAAAGTTGAATAAGTAGAATAATGGTGATATAGGGTAAGAAGGAATTCCTCAGAACTCTTAATTTTGAAGATATTAATATTCAAAGTAATTTAGAAAAAGCCATTTTCCAATTGAGAATTGAAATTGCTATTTTAAATACAATGGACGATTTTATTTTAAAAGGTTAAGCACCCTTATTTTAGAATGCAAGAAGTGAAAAGAACTTGATACGATATCAAAGAGATTTAAGTAGATTATGTATTACACAGAACAGAGATGTCTTTAATTAGTTATGAAAAGATCATCTTACAAATTTCTTAGTGAAAAATGAATGTAAATGTACCTTTGAGCGTACGTACGACTTAAAAGAGATTTATATTTCATTTCGGTATAAATGATGCTCCTTATTTCAATCTTATGTATAAGTTGCTCATCTTCGAAGGATAATTACGCGAGAAGTACATATTTACAATGTTATAACGTGCCTCGGTTATGTAATTTAAAAGCTCGTTTGATAAGGAAGTAATTCATTACTACAGTATTTATGTTCCTTCAAAGAAATAAATGTACACCGTTCAGCTAACAGTTTAACCATCTTGCAAAGTCACTTTACAAAATAGGCCACGGTATTATTCGAATCAAGTGTATTAAGATAATTAATCTGTCCATAGATTAAACGTTGATAAAAATAATGAGAAATTAAGGAAAAGTTAAATTAACCCCTTGATCTATAATATTATACAACTTATAATAACTTAAACATCACAAATTTCTCTGGTATTTCTAGTACGGTTGAATTTGAATTAATTATAATTTGCATACTCAAAAATACTTTATACTTTTTTAAATTTTGGTCAGATGAAAGCATATCAAAGTTATCAGAGTTCTAGAATTATCCCTGAACGCTAAATATCGACTTGCTGGAACAGCAAGCTGGGGAGTGAAATGGTAATACTCGGATCGAGTTTGGATGTTTCGCATCGAGTTTCATACTAATCTGACCAATATTAACTGAAGTTCCCGTGATGTTAAATTACTCAAGATTTGTTAAATTGCTCGCATGCTTCAAAGCGAAACGTACCAGCAACCAGAAAAATATAACGTGGTGCCTTTTTTAATAAAAATTTCAAACTTACTTGAAATATACTTGGATTCAATTTCAGGCCTATACCTCATCGTAATTATTCACGTCAAATCTATCGTCCAATCGAACATCACTGAACCGAGACGCATATATCTTTGGAGGGAGCAGAATTGAAATCAGCCGTGAGCGCATCGAATTTACGCCGGTGATAAAGACGACGTTGCACCCCCAACGCTCCAACACCCACACAGTCAGTCAGACTGGGTGCACAACGCATTCCTTGAGAACGAATTGCGCGATCGTGCGAGTCGAACGACCGGGATTACGCTCTCTACCAGGGAAATGCAACATACTGCCTTGAAAGCATGCGCATAAGTGATTCGCCCCGCTGCGTCAAGCTATGTACTTGAAGTGTTTAGACGACACGATCTAAGGTTAAATGTCGCCAATTTCAGGAAACCATGTGCCCTGTTTCCTCGTGTGTTCAGATATATGTTTGCATTGTTATTCGAAAACGATACGCCATGTTTTTCCTTTGTCGAATGTTAACGTCTGGGGACATTAAAGGGAACGATTAATTTTCCCCAGCGTGACCGGAATTTCACGACTGTTTTCCATGTTCTGAATGAAACCGTGCAAGTTTTGAACTAGAAATTCAAGCAAACGCTTCATTTGCGTTGCTTGCAATTCATTTGTATAATACTGTTGTTGACAAACTTATTTGATCGCGAGTGAATTTCAAATATTGCACTAATCAGAATGGTCGAGTTCAACAAGCTCTTTAGAAATAAATGAGATCATAATTAATATCAAAAGATAATTATTAGCTATTTAATTGAGAATCATTGAAAATGATTGCGAGACTTAGAAGTATTTTATTTGAAAATAAATGTATAAAGTTTTGTATGACAAATAAATACTTTTTAAAAAAATAATATTTTAATTTAATTCATTCCTGCATTGTTAAAAGAGCTAATCTCTATTTTTTTATTGATTTAGTAACATAAAATAGATCTCCTCAGTTGTCCATATAATCGTTATTTGATCCTATTTCTATGTTAGAATTATATTCCACACAATATCGAATTCGAATTGATATTGACTGATACTGGGTTAATTTGATAACCAATATTGAAATTATCCTATGTACCCTATCAGCTTCCCTAAATGGTATTCATGATATCTGTCCGACTGGATTATACCTCTTCATCCATTGACATTAATATAAAGAAACAATCAATAAGATATTTGAAACTGTACCAAATTGAAAACCACGGAGTATAAAATAAAATGTTACATTTTCTTTCCTTACATTATTTCCCTACTTTTTATTCTTCTTTCCTGTCTTTCTCTTGCGACCCCTTTTAGTCGCCTCTTACGACAGGCAGGGGATACCGTGGCTGTATTCTAAACCCCCCAGCCACAGGGGGATGTCTGACATAATTTTATGACATACAAGTGTCAGAAAATATCACTTATGATACATCAATTTAAAGGTAAAGAGTTGAAGAAAATGCCTATATAAATAGTTCATCAATAGGATTAAACTTGATACCAATTATCGTGCTTAAACGTCAAGCATTCTATGAACAAGTAGTATTGGTCAACGATAAATCAGACATCAGTAATATCCAAGTGCAGCGTTGACGCGAGAGGCAACGCATAGTGACGAAGATGAAGAAAAGGAGTTCTCAGAGTTCACAGTTCATTCCACGTGATTGTCCGTTCTTTCGCAACGGCGTCGCGGCGTCGTTCGAGGCGTCTGAATGGACCAACGTAGAAGGCCAATTGATCCGGATTCTCGCACGCTCCAACGGTTATCCTCTATGGCTCGTAAACGCGTCTTTTAAGACGGTGCTTTGGCACACGTGGCTCTTTCAGGGCATCGGTTATTCACGGCCTCGCATCATCGTCCGTTACATTTTTTTTTTTTTCCCCCTATTACTTATTCCAGTACGAAAGACGATCCCTGGTAAAAAGTTTGAATCCGTCGTCCGAACGAGCTACAACCACTTTCCTGTAACTTTCTTTCGCAAATTCCATTATACACACGCACCCTTCGAATGGTTCGAACGAATTGACAAAGAGATTGACCCACGGTTCGTTTTCAATTTGAACAACCCTCCCCCAAATCCATAGTAGCTCGCTTTTTCCAACAACAAGCACCAACCTGGCTCGTCGAGAAACGACCCTATACCCTTGATTCCCGGGGACCATTTCTTTCTGTTCTCTCTATTCGGATTTTCGTGGGAGAACATGGGGCTCGTAAAATATTCAGAACACGTATGAGCTGAGACCCGGTCCACTATACGCCACCGTTGTTTTACGCTTCACCATCCACCGTTTACGATTGAAAGGTTTGCGACGTATCGAAATACCGGAAGCTATGGAGAAAGTTGCGGAGAGATAGAGTGTTTCATAGATCATAGGGTGAATCGAATTGTAATGGGGGTGAAACGTTTTTACCATGGGAAAACTAAGAATGAACTCATTAAGCGCATCAGTTAGAAAATATAAAAATACCAAAAATAATTTTGATTTAGCTACTCATGAAACAGCTAAATAAATTTTATTAATCTTTTTAATATTTAAATTAAGAATATTATGATGGAATCATCTGTAAAAACATTATATCTATTTAAATGTTGCACGCAAACATAATTTTCTGTAAATAGCACACAACGAATCAGATACATTACTGTAATTTTCATAAAATTTCGAAAAAGCCATTTTTGTGGCGTACGACCTCATTTAACCGGAGCAACATCAGAGTTCTCCTTGCACACTTATCTCCACTTTGGGGATCATGTTTTCTAGTTCCATACAATGGAGAGCTTTGAAGATAAAAAAGCATTTTCCAAAAGCTTATTCAGATGTTCCCTTTTTACTAAACCCTTGCTGAACGTATTCAAACCGTAATACATGCATTCAACAATTTTTATCAGGCAATTAAATAATAATGCAAATATAAGAGGGATAATGAATAGTTTATGTTCTGATCCAGTATCTGAATTTTCTTGAATAGAATAACCTAATCAGTGAAAAATTAAATTCGAAACAATTATTTCCTAAGTAACCCTTTTCTTAATTATTCTCCACCTTCCTGCAGCGTTTCATTCAGAAATTCTGATGCAGCAGACAAGCCATCATCGTAATCCACGTTCTCAACACGAGTACAAGGTGCACAATATAAGTGCTTAAAATATTCCACGAAGCATAAGATGCAGCTCGCATTACCTGGAATTACGTGGAAACTTTGCCAACATCCTACGACCAAGTATCGATACTCCACCGTACGAAACTTCCGCATTAATTCCGGCACGAATGTTGAAAGCTGTCATAATTCTCCCTGACAAAGGGCGTGTTTCGAATACCCTCGAAAGACGAAAGGGCGACAATCTGGTTTCAAGGGAAGTTTCGTAAAAACAGAAATGAAACGACTGTTAATCTTTCGTCAAGATATACGTGTATTATAACCAGAGAGAGAGAGAGAGAGGGTGAAAACTCAGGGTGGAAATCTGGAAAAGTTTCGTGACAATGGTAGAAATGGTTGCTGATAACGTTACAGACAGACGTTGAGGAAGAACGAGGTGGTAACGATAAGGGTAACAATAAAGGGCAAAGATGATTTCGTTGCATAAAATCCTCCCAATAAGGGGTAGTAAGATAGGGAAAGAATGAAAAGTGAATCGTTGGTTGGAGGGAAGGATAAAGGAGGAGGTTAAGGGAGCGAATGTTGAAATTACAATCCTGCTGGAGAGACGGCTGCCAACCGGATGTATAGAAATTCCTGTCGCACTGCTCGAGATTCCGCCTCGTTCCTGACGTCGTCTCATCTTGAAGTCGATCTATTATATTCGCGTGCTCATTGTGGCGAGACAGCCTCCTCGCACGTGAAAGCAACAGGGAACGAGAAAACGCGGTAAATTCGATCGCGACAACGCTTTCGAACGAAATGCTTTCCTCTCCAGATGGATACACATAGCGTAGTTTGTACCGTTCCGCGTCGAATTCGGTTAACAATAATAGTGAGTAACGTTAACAACGCTCCTTTTCCAGCCAATAGCTCGCGAAGACGCATTACGTACAATAAACGAGACAGGGAACGAATTCGACTTCCGACTCCTGGGAGAAGTTAAGCTTTCATTGATTAACAGGGGTAAAGAGGAGAAGCGTGAACGAATGGCGAACCTTCGAGTAACGAGTTAAGCTACGAAATTGAAGACAAATTCGTGAAACGTTTTCATCAAGAAATATTTCAATAAGAAATATGGCTTATTCTTCTTGGATTTCCCATACATAGTTAAAACAATAATTTTGGAATTATCTCTCGAATAAAATTCGTGGATAAAAACACTATTCATCAGTAATTCCTATGTTGATCAGCATCTATTGGATCACGATCGATATCCAGGAATTTCCATCGAACCGAAGGAGGTCTTTATCGACGACGAAGATTATACATTTCACGCTTGACGAGGTTTCCAATCGATACAGGTAGAATTACCCATGCTTTGTTCCAACCCGGTCAGGTTCAATCGCTAAACCTGACCATAACACCATCGAACTTTGGACATCACTGTAGTAGTTTAATTACGCTAAAGCCGTGACGGTTAATGATACGGATGGTCCGGTTGTTTTTCCATCTAATTCTAGGAAGGGGAATGATAGAGGTAAGGACCAGTAGGGAAAAGAGGAAGGCCGGAAGCGAGGGTTGAGAAAAGACAGGATAACCGCATTGCACCACGCCTGCCAACCACATCGATCAACAAATCACCGTCTATAAGCAGCGACCAGAGAAGCTTTCCCTTAGGGATTCTTCCAGCCTCTTCCGCTGGGATAGTGTTCTTTAGGTTGACGGAAACGACATCCAATTACCGTCTCTTCTGTCTTCGTTGCACGCCAGAAATATTAGTATTAGTGGTACCATATTTCATTTGTACTCCTTCGATAGTTTTATGGCCTTTAATTAATGTATTTTTTATTTGCGGTTTTTAAATTATTTTTCTTACGATATATTTTCTTTTATGGTCATTCATTTCGCGCGTATTTATTTAGATTTCTCTGCCGGCAAGCGTGATTTGTTGTTACGAATCGAGATGATGTATGCATTCCACGTGAACAAATAGACAAATGCAAATTCTTTGTTTTCTCGAAAAACTCCATTTACCGTTCCTCAAATATTCAATGATTGTAGACGAATTGCAAGTTATAAATCAGAAGCATTGTAAACATCAGGAATAAAAACAGAAGTTTAATTGGCAAGGATAACGTATTAATAAAATACGAGTATGTTTTTATAATACCACGATATGTAATAAAAAACAAAAGTTGGAATATGAATTTTAAGGGTAGACTACAAAATACTTTTAATTCTACGTTTAATGAAAAATCGAAATTTAAATTTTAACAATTCAGATAAATAACCCACTAAAAATTTGAGAATTAATATTTTTACTTTTATTAAAAATTGGCAGAAATTACTTGAAATAAAATTACAATCGTTATTTTCTACCATTTATAAAAAGTACTGAAACAGAAAGGATTACGTTTCATTATTTGTTAAGCTTCAACGTCATCATCCGAATAAATTAATTACGACACGATATTGCAGTGTGTTCACAAGAAATAGTCAAAAACTTGTTCGATTCGAACTGGATTTCAAACAAATTTCGTCGAACGAAACCTCGATTTCATTTCCATTTTCATTCGATTCGCTGTTAACCGATCCCCTCCAACACCGTAATTTTCAAGAGCTACGAGAAACCGTGTTCGGTACACACTATTTTACACCTAAAAAGGGAAGAGAAATACAAACGAAAGGTGGTAACATGGTAAAGGGTGGCCCGACCCGATTTCACCCGATCGGACCCGAGACTCGGATACTCGCACTCATCCTAAAAAGCTGAATAATCTACTTTACAAAAATACCAAGCACTTTACTGTTCATCCTGGATATTATTTTAACCTGGAATAATGCCCTCGCGGAAGTTCGTTAAAATCAGGGTTGCAGTTCAATTACCGGTGCCGAAAAAAAAAAGAAAAAGAGAGAAAGAAGAAAGAGTAACGATGACATAAAGCAGGCCACGACAAAAATCGATAGGGCACCACTGGGCATTGTGTTGCATCCTCGGTCAGAGAATTTTTCTTTCTTTTTTTTTTATCCCTCTTTTTGTTCTATCGTTCATCCCCCTATGAAACGTACAAATCAAGCGGAAGGATGTTATCAAAACTTCCGTCTGCGTGACAAATTGAATTACTACGGAAGCTTGAGCGAAAACAACGATGGTAGAGGAGAAAAAAATCGCCCGGCACGCGGCAGAAGGGAGGTAAAAATAAAAAAATAAAAACGCGATGGGGTTCGTTGTGAATCCGGCCGCGTGATATGAAAATCTGTCATTTCGCGGATGCAGAGAACGCGGTGCATTATAGCCAGGGATTTTTCGGCGATCGACGAGGCTGTGAGATAGGGGACGTTCGTGGAATATATTATAACAGAGCTTACGTTACCAAGAGAAACTTTGGTTATTTTTTATGAGCCCTCATTTAAGACGTTGGGTTTTACTATGGTACGAGTTGGTCATTTAACACCTCCCTCCAGTTCAACATATAAGTAGTTTCCGTTTTACTAAATTTTGATGCTAGAACTATCAACTAATTTGACACAATTTTATGATATAAAAATATCACATATGCCATTTGACATGGCATATCACACTGAAGCTTAAGGATTGATAAAAATGGGTACATGAAGGTTTCATAGATATGATGAACGTCTGTCATTCGAGCGACGAATCAGCTAGGAATAAGTGATACAGGTCAATAATAAATCAGACGTCAGACATGATACGCGGTTAACGTGCTACTTTGACAATTGCTGTTAAGTATTCATATATCTACTATATTAGATACTAATTATTATTTAAAAATTAATAATTTTACAATAAACATGGATAAAATTTTCAAACCTAATTTTTTCTTATTTTTTGTAAGTTAGGAGTGTGTAAAAAATTTAGTCTTCAGTGATTTCGACGACGACATGGTCGTCCTCGAGCACTGTCGTCGTTTGTGCAACCAATGAGGATGTCCCTTGAAATCGATATGAATTTATGGTGTTTTTCTATTGCGCCGACTTGGCAGAACTTTCTTAAAACGGCACGGCGCGGAAACATTACACGGTAATTTATTGCACGATCGCTTTACGAGCGGATATCTTACGCGAGAGATCGTGGTGCCGGTAAATTCAGCATCGTCGAATTTAATAACCCAAGAAACGAACTAATCCGCTCGCTAAGAGGTTTGGATAAAATAGTGTGCAGCGAACTATGCAAGATGAAATCGATGAACAAGAAAAATGAAACAGGATTTTCGTTATAGAGTTGCTTGAATATAAAAAAAAAACCTTTCCAATTTTGTGGCATTTTGACATTTAAAATTATAAAAAATTATTTTCGATCGAAATCAACTATGAACGTACCAACAATTTTACACGCTAATGGGGTACCTTAGGATCCGTAAGGAACACGTTTATATTTGTAAATTGGGGTCTGATAAACATTGATTTATTCTACTGACGGGTTAGTGATGTTACGTGATAAATTGCTCATGGCATTTACGTAATCCTATTCTTGTTTCCCCATAGAAAGCATCGATTGTCGTTTAATCACTGAAATTAAACTGTATTCGATACGGTTACTGCTCAGATTGATGAGTATTTGGAAACTCGATCTATTGTTAGGGTTCGTGGTTCGAAACACCTACAACGGTACATTTGTAACTGAATGATTATAAAGCTGAAGCTAGTTTATAATCTAACGATAGAATGGTTCCTAGAGAAATAGATTGATACAAGTGATTTTGTATAATACTTTATACTATTTGAAATAAACTTTTCCACGATGAAAATCATTCCATATTTTAAAGGAGAATATTTATGATTAACGTAAATAATTCTAGAATTCTATATTGGAAATGTGAAAATTGAATTCAATATGAATGATCTGATTTTGAAATGTTCTCATACCATTCATATTGTACGTGTATGAATTGATTTAAATATAAGACAGCTTATGAAAAATGTATCTGAACTCGTATGTACATCATTTTAAATCGAGAATGTATGTGAGGTTGATTTATGGCATTCTTACACAATATATGGTTGACATATTTCGTTATTTATCGCTCTAGTTGAACATGCATACCACAAATAAACCAGCTTTCATCGTACAATATGATTGTATACGATTCATAATATTCTTCATTGATTTAAGTAAATGATTACTTAATTTTCTGATATCTTTCAAAAATATTTTCCTATACAGGCAACTTGTAAAAATTTTTACCTTTGAAATATCTTTAATTAAGTTGATTTCAATATCTGTAAATATGAATTATAATTTTAATTTCCACGTATTTATTCTTTAGTCTGGGACGTTATAAATTATACTACAGCAATATTGAACAGCAAATTCAATTAATGTTAGCACTAAATATTGCAGAAACTCTGAAACAATGTTAATGAAATTGAGACCATTATTCATTACGACACCGCACCGAAAGTCCATGAATACACACAGATTAAATCCGATTTAAACGAGAAAATTTAAGTATCTTTGCAATTTATGGATACATGGCAGAATCATTATGAAACCAATTTGCATTACTTAAAATAACCAATGTTTCGACGGGAAGATATTCCATGTACATATTTTTGTAATTAGCTTCTATAATAAAAAAAGAATTTACTTTACAATTTCTGTCAATTCTAGGATCCAAAAATGATTTGAAAGCTTTCATAATCTTTATGAATTGCAGAAATTTAATTTTAAATAAAATCTCAGAAAATCTGATATATCTCTTACGTATTTATAATTCGACCAGTTGCATTGGAACTTGAACAAGACTGTATGTACAGAACCGAAGACACTGGTCTACTCGCCGGAGGTGCATGTTTAAACAGAAGAACGCCATCAAACATTCGACTTGAAGATGCAGGAGAGTATTTCTCGTAACCAAACATACGTACCCAGACGCGTCGAGTATCTGAAAGAGACGGGAAAGGCCTATGAAACACAGTGTCGAGCGGCCAGAATCAAACAAAGAAGAACGAAGAACGAAGAGAAGAGAAACGGACAGAGTGGTCGAGACAAATCCTGCCAAACACACGAGAGATACTCAAGCTGGCCACTCGCCAAAAGCACCCATAGCTATTCGCTCGTCCATGTTCGCGTGAACTCGTTAAGACGTAAACTTTTCATCCTTTTTCTTAGGGTCTAACACCACAACCAGATCTACATTATCTTTTGTTCCATAGAAGATCAAGGTTTCTCCTAGCTTGGGTCAGAAATCAATTTTCTTTCGTGTTGGATATTTCATTAGTATACTTAGAAATTTTAACAGAGAGAGAAATTTTAACAGAGTAGGCTTCATTAGGAAAGAATGGCGGTACAAAGAAAGTACTTATCTTTTCGCTAAGAAAGCTTTACGTGTTTGGAAGTTTCAAGTAATTTTAGTTTATTACAACTTCAATCTTCGCTTTCGAAAATGATAAAAAGTTAGCTTTCAAAGTTTAGCAGAATTTCATCTAAAATTTGTACATAACCTACTTAAATTATAGCTATCATTAAACGCCCACCTTCTAAAATCTCTCCATTAATATTAAATGCATCAAGGGTAATTTACTCTATAACCTTCAAATTGACTTTTATACCCTATCATATTCGATCTCTAATAATATCTAACGGGTGATTACACTGTAATCTGGGCAAGCTGTTGCCATCGGGTAGTTTCGCCTAACTGACGGAATATTTTACATCAATTAGCCGTTTGACCAATGACTCTGATCGTCGACGATCCTTTGACAAGGGACGGATCATCATCCGCTGGTTCCTCGTGAAGTTTGATGGTGATAGTTTAATGGAACGTGTAATGTACCAGAAGTGAAAAGGAAATTTAGAGCGGTTCTATAATGGAGATACTTTGAAACGTTATTTTTAGATGGAGTTTGTAAGTCGAAGCTTGGTAAAAGGAAAACCTGAGATTTCAAACCAGATGATGGAAATCAATAACCATCCCTTTACGATTTATAGTATATTTTAGAGAAATAATATTTTATATTTTTCATTCTATCTGATTTCAGAAATCTATTTTTATTATTATATAAAATTAATATATAAAATATTTATTTAAATCTAATGCAAATTAATTAAACGTATAACAGTGTGAACGATAAGTATAGAATTGAAAAAAATTTTTAAATAGAAGTGTCATCATCTGTTCCACGA